ACCCTTCATGCGACTCGCCGAATATCTCACGGCGCTTCGCGCTTGGTGATGTGAGAGCCTGGTCCGGTGGGAACCCGGCGTGCTCCGTCCCGGCTTTGTAAGGATGCGAGGTCAATGGTCTAACGACNTGAGTCATACGCAGCTGTCATCCGTACGCAAGGAAGTAAGCACAAGATGCCGAAAACCCTTAGCAGGATGCAGCGCATCCTTCATGCGACTCGCCGAATGTCTCACGGCGCTTCGCGCTTGGTGATGTGAGCGCCTGAGCCTGGTCCGGTGGGAACCCGGCGTGCTCCGTCCCGGCTTTGTAAGGATGCGAGGTCAATGGTCTCACGACTACGGCATGCACGACTATAAGTACACCCCCCCGTACGGCGCTTCAAGACAAGGCACTGCAGCAACCCTCCCACGGCACGATTCGACATCTCTAATCCGTACGAACACTCCAAGTAATCTATGACGGTTCGGCGAAAGACCTGACGTCCCGCCTCGTGCTCGCCCTTGATGAACTCGTTCAGTCTATCCTCTTGCTTCTTGGTGATGACACATCGCCCGTCGTCGACGCTAGTGGCCCTGCCTCGCTCCTGCTTATTATACCAGCGAACCGCCAGGACCCATTCCGTACCGATTCTCAAGGACTTCGCGACCTGATGAAGATCGGTCATCCACACAGAGGGAGGATGGGGAAAAGTTTGTAGAAGGAGGATGGGAAAAAGTTTGTAAGAATACAGCCTGTATTGTTGCAGTGTATGTAATGCGTTGGTGTACAACAGCCGGTATTAAAGGAACGGCAGAGTGTGGATAACCGTACAGCGCACGCGAGGAAAATGGCGGTGCCATGCACATGCATACATTCATTTACATTCAGCGGTACAAAGCGCTGCTGTAACTGCTGTACTGGTACATTGCTCTCCATTTGGCAGCATACCGTAATATATGCCACTCAAGTATTGTACAGCAGTAATGGGCATCAGCACAGCAGTGCAAGCAATGTGACCATGGACCGGCAGCAGTACTGGCATGATGCACAATATGTTGCGTAGGGCTGTATCAAGCACTGCTGTTGCTTGTACAAAAATCTTGGGTGGGATGTAGTCATACATGCAATTGTACCAAAAAAGTATGTGGTACTATGAAAAAAGTGACAACGACATGCGTTTATATACTGGTACTTTGTACGCACAGGCCATGTGTCTTGGTTCTCACCTGCTCCTTTGCGTGGTTCTCAGAGCTGCCTCCTTTCACCAGGTCGAAGTAAAGCATGAGAATCATCCGCAACTGCTGCAGGGTGATGAGGTCGCCAGTCTTGGGCCTCAGCGATTGCACGAGGTCCTCTACAAACTTCAGCGCGAGAGGGGGAAGCTTGGAAGTCCCCGCTTCAGCAGCCTTGCTGACACGATCCTGCTCTCGTCATTCACGCTGCTGCCTGGTACTACCGATATGACTGCTGAAGAGGCTGTTGCGATTCTGGATTCTGGCTGGGGGCTCACCACTATATCAGACGTTATCGCGACTAGGCTGCAAGTTGCATTTCCTGATGTGAGGGAGGTCGTGGAGGGCAAGAAAATCCAGGAAGCTGAAAGTAGCGGACGGTGGCGCCCTCGAGGTCACACAGAAAAGCTTCCCCCGTGCGTATTGGTTTGCACACCGGTCGGGGGTTGGTGTCGGTGGACCCGTTCTCGTTTGCCGTCATGCCTGGTAATGATGTAATGATGAGGTGCTTATTCTTGGCAACCCGACGGTCAAGGCGTTGGATGTCGATGTGTACGAGAGCTTGGGGGCCTGTGCGCGATCGCGCGCAAGCGCCGCGGGTGTTGACACTGCGGCCCACAAAGAATGTCGCCGAGTTTCGCTTGCCATTGATGCTGTTCTGTAACTGCGCGAAGGCCAGGAGCAAGCCGAGCCGGATCCCGTGGTCGAAAGTTTCGTGGCGCGAGGTCCAGATATGGATATGAGCCCTGAGGAGTGGACATCAACGCGGTCTGCATCGTTGGACAGCGCTGTTTCTTCCGCGGTTGCAGCGGGTGTGGAGGAACGCACGTGGGACGTGTGCGAGGTATCATCGGCGAGCGTTGGAATGCGTCCCGTCGTGGTCTACGTCATGGAGACCCTCCCGCGAACGCTGAGCGCCTACGGTCATCACGGTGCGCGCATGTTGAAGCGCGACCGCGCGTGTACAACCCAATCAAGACCGCGTGGCTGGCAGGGTGCACGGCGTCGCTGGTTGCGTTGGGTTGGCGTTTCCTCACATTGCAGGCAGTGAAGCCGAGCGACATGATGGCGGCTCCGAAGAAAGGGGGATACCGACTGGTGAGTGACTTTCGTGAGGCCTTCAAGCAAGTAGAGAAGGTGTGTGGTGTCATGCCTAACCCTAAAGCCAGTATGGCGCACGGACCTGCTTCACCTGCTACGTCATTTTCGACGGCGGTGGGGACGGCCAAAAGGAATGATAGGGGGCCGTTTCACGTCCATATGGATGGACGTAATGTGCTTTGGATTCCAGATCAAGCAGGTACTTTGCATGTAGTACTTTTGCTGGTTTAGCGGGTGTGGGTCAGCATCGAAGCTCCTCAAGACCTAGACGGGGTGATGGAGGACTGTCGCTGCCGAGAGAACCCGCATATTTTACGGATGAGGTTCGGGATGTCCACGTCGCGCGCTTACGGTTCGATACCGATGCCAGTCTCGAAATCGCGGCCGAGTTGAAACAAAGCTTTCAGCATGTTTTTACCCAGGGGGATATCGAGATGGAAGCGATCGTGGACATGTCGGTGGCGGAGGGCGGCCGCGGCTTTGATGTCGAGGTGGAATGAGCTGTCCAGGTTCTGGGATGCGGCGCCGCAGTTTGTCGAATCCGAGCTGCGGCTGCTGGGTCTGCCAAAAAGGTTCGGGCTCAGTTGATGAAGCATCACAACGACAGCTTTGTGATTATCAGTCGAGTTGAGCGAGGGTCGTCTTGTTTGCGTGTTGATGGCATTTCTTCGCTGACTTTCTCCTCTTTGTGCTTGGTTTGCCTAAGTTATGTGAGGGCTATCTTTTTGAGGAGTATTGATAGTATTTCTTTGCTGACTGCTTCATGTGCATCTGTCAGCACACCCAGCATTGATCTGGTTGTGGCGTGCCTGACTCTTGCACGTGTTGGTAGACCACTATCGGCCGCATTCCCTAGTGTTGGGGGTGCCTTGCCTATTCCTACAGTTGCATGTTGTTGAATTGCGTGGAGGCCACCACCTGACAACGTGTTAATGGTACTTCTTCGACGGTTTCGTACTTTTCAATATTGTAACATTCATTAGTTTTGTTGGACAAGGGTCATCGTAACCTATATATTTGCCTTCTGAGGTATGTCAACACCTTCTGTAAGCGCTTCGTAACGGCGTTCAGCGTTGCTTCGGGGATAGTTGTTTGGTTCGTCGTTTTGTGTGCGTGTTTCGAACATGCTCATTTCACGTTGTTTGCGGCGTGTTGTTCGTGCAGCCACTGCGTAACTTCTTTTCCTTTGCAACCGTGTGGCCTTAGACAAGTTTATTGGCCGCGGGGTCATATGTGTGTTGTAGTGCATTGTCGCGTCACGTCCGCCGCCTCTCCCCGCTGTCGAGGCACTCCCACGCCCCTCCGACTGCCCAGCGCTCGCCAAAGGCACCATCACCAGTCAATCCCTCTTCCCACACCATCGCGGGCACTGCCGGGGCCAGAGTCAAGGTCACGTCAACTGCCCTAGAGGCGCCGGTGTGCTTGTTGCCGTTGCCGCCATCACTGGCTGCTGTACGCGGGCATTCTGCGCTTTGTATGGGAGATTCAACACATGCGTTGGCGAACGAAATGGAGTGGCATCAGTCTGGCATGATATCGCCGTTTATGGGTGTTTATCTTTACAAACTCGCTGTCATTTTTCTTGAGTATATCCAGGTGCATACTACGTATCTGTGATTAAGCTGATTATTGTCTACTCCGGTAGAAATCACCTTTGGGAGCAGTGTGGACGCATCGCACCTGGGTGGCAGGAGTTTAGGGTAGGAAGCCCCCCGTTAGATTTCTCCATGTCTATGATATGGTTGATAAGGGTTATTATCTGTCTGGTTGTTGGCAGGAGAGAACAATATAGATGGAGAGAGAGAGAGACTCGTGTGAAATAATAAACTCTGTTTACCATCACCAAGGACGTGAATCGACTAGCCCCCCGAGGCCACGGGGGAAGGATTCTGGTCCTAGGCCCTGCCAGATTTCAGGCGTGTCTACATATCGCATGTACACGTCAGAGAGTCGACCCTGGACGTTGGTTTTCCGAGCGCGTATGCGGACTTTTGTTGGTTTTGCACCACATCGGGGGGGAAGCTGCCAAGTCTGGCGTTCGGGAGGAGCGTCACGGGGACAGGCGAGGTTCATCAACAACCTTGTCGCTAGGGGCCCAGATATGGTACTTGGAGACTATAGTGGTACCCCCTTGTTGTCTCATCAGGGGGGCCTCTATTGACGCCTGATGAAAAAAATATACACTCTGTTTACCATCCCCAAGAAGGTGAATCGACCAGCCAACCGAGGCCGCGGGGGCAGGACACTGGTCCTGGGCCGTGCCTGACTTTAGGCGTGTCTACACTAGGCCGTATCTGCAAAAGCGGTGTAGCGTGACACGGCATTTTCAATCCATTTTGAAGACTTTGCGCTTCCCCTCCAGCGGTTGATAAAAACTTCATTGATGGGAGTGTTGATATTTGGTCTTGGCATGCCTGCTGTGCCGGGGTTAAATTTTCTTTATTTGCTGATCTCTGGATCATGCTTGACGTCAGGTGAATGGAGTATGATTTAGCGTTGTTTGTGTTCAGGCAGCTACTTACCGACACAGGTGTTCGTTTTTAGACTTGCATAATATCTACCCCTACGTATTTTTGAGAGTACTTGCGAGTAGCGTGGGCGTTCTTCATCGCTGATGAGGGCGTTCAATATGGTGCATGTCACTGGTGGTCAACTTTCCGTAGGATGCACTTGGGACTTGACGTTTGTCAGGCCGATTGGAACGGTCATGGCGATTTGAACATGGCGTATTATCATTTAATGCTCGCGCTTTTTCCGTGTTTTGGCTCGGAGTCCGAACCCAGTGTGTTATCAAGGTCATCGGGTCCTACTAAGAGTTAGCGATGCGCTTTGGGGGCGTTGTGGACAGGGCTCTACTGGGCGCCCAGATATGGTAGTGGGAGGTGTTGATGGTACCACCTTGTAGTCCCATCTGGGGAGACTCTGTTGACTTCTGAATATATGAGCCTTCCCTTCTACATCTCTTCATGGGAGCTTAGGGGCTAATGATAGTGGGAGGTGTTGATGGTACCACCTTTTAGTCCCATCGGGGGAGACTCTGTTGACTTCTGAATATCATAGCCTTCCCTTCTACATCTCTTCATGGGAGCTTAGGGGCCTAGCCTCCCCCCTTACACGCTGGTGGAGCTGCCCTAGGGGGTCTCCCGAGGGCATATGGCTTTTCTTGTCCATATGGACAGAGGTTCTTACCAATAGGCATGAAGCGCGCCGAGCATTGAAGGGCAAGTGAAACGCAGCAACGTGAAGGTGTTTTCAAAGTAGCGTGTGAGGAAGTGGCAGCAACAGCCGAACTGGGTATACATTCCCACCTGAATATGCATAGATATGTGACGGAACTCGAAGCGATCCAGAA